CGGCCGTCGATGACATTCGAGTGACATTGAGCAAATCACCGCTTGTGCTATACAACATCCCTCGAGTCACCAACAGCTGCATGGGCGAACTGCTGCACACTAAAACCCTAGAAGCCGCGTTCAAGACGCGTAATCCGTAAAATGGTCGGAGTGATCATCGATCAGCTCATACATGTAGAAACGGGAAAAACCGGCATGGGCAAATCGATGTCCTCCGATGACTACATTTTAAACATTGCCGATATTGTCATGTCAGTACTTTCGGTTTAGCTTGTACTGTACATGGCTGTCTCAATTTGAACGATGCCGAGGCATCCAGCCGACCATCAAAGCAAAGTTGCGAAATAAATAAATTTTCGACCAAAATACGTACCAAAAAGTATTTAATAAAAATAGTATTTTCGGAACCCCTGCAGCCGACCTGCCAGGACCAACGTCGTCTCATTCGGAGAGATTGACGACATGACTAAACCACTTTACAAGACTTGCCTCGGTGCTGGACAATTCCAAATACTCTCTAATCACTGGAAATTGTCGATGATGCGGTCGAAGGTAGCGACGGCAGTTGAACCACGTCGGGCGAATGGGCTTATTCGTTAATCTCGTTTTCGAAAGTACGGACATAAAAGACGTGACGGTGGTCGTCCATTCTGGGAGCGACCACAATGCCAAAGTTGGACGTTGGTGCTGGAGACACCGTGTCATTGAACTGTATCATCTCAGAACTCGAAAACAGGACCATATATCTCGATCGCTGGCGTCCCGGTCTCTTTGGACTGCCTGGTGCCGGTGGTGGCTCACTTTTGATGTGGGTTCCACGTTCCACCCAAGGTGACCATAAACAAGATGCACGTCAGAATTAACCCAAACTAAAATATGATAAATGTCCCAAGGTAAAAAGTGAAACGAAAAAAAAACAATAAAATAAAAACATATTGGAGATAAAATCATAACTTGGTTCAAATTGAGTTAATAGCTCGAGAAATACTAAACGCTAATGCATGTCGGACAAGTTGTTGTTGGCGACTGTGGTCAGGTTCTGGCATATAGCAACGTGGGAACTGCAGGACACGTAGAATTCCCTCCATATCAGCCTTCAAGAGCTGTTGTTGGAGTTCATCCAGAATGACAAGCGAGACGCTGAACATGATCCGCCAGCCGTCAATGATGAAAATGTCCAATAGACGAGTCACGAGTGTCGGCGCCAACGTCTCAAATGATGAAAAGAACGTCAAGAACCAGCGTGTGCAGAAGGTAGCAACGTGCACCCCCTCCTTCTGGAAGTGCATGTGTAGCTCTGGCATATGCGTCGAGAAGAGCTCTTCAAACTTGGACAGATACGGCTGAAGCACTGCCATGCCAGGCTCGTACAGATTGCGATCGTTTTCTGGTTCCGAGAACCCCACGAATAACCAGAAAATATCGGCTTCGTCTTCGGCTACTTCAGCCAGTAACCGCACCAGAAAACCCATTCCTTGGCAGTAACCCACGCGCGGATTATACACAACGTACGCACGAAGCACACGACGCAGCTTAGCTTCCAGATCCGGATCAACTATCTCGTTATTTGTCGACAGTGTAGACGCCTCGTGCTCCTCTCCCTCAGTGCGTACAATTGAGTCCATTATCTCGTTCAAGATGGATGTAACAGAGTCTTCAATGGCGTCCTGACCATCTGAAGTTGCTAGTTCTACGCGCGTATTTACCATGGATTTTCTGGCGTGAATACTCCGGTGACAAGTCCGCACGACATCGACGTCGATTTCCCGGAACCAAACTGCAAGCTGAGCGTCATCGTCGCTCACCGGCAGTCCGTCAGCTATCCCATCCACCAATTTCGTCTCCACTTTCGTCAGAAGTTGAGCATACATGTTGCAGCGTCTGTCGGCGGAGAGATAGTGCGACGCAATCGCGCTTGATCGCCAAGGTGTAGATTCATAGAAAACCGAGAGCCAAAGCGAACTGCGAATTGCAGGAGACAAACCACCAGAGCGAATACACTTCTTCCATATTGGAGCACTGTCAACCAAGTGAGAGTGGAGACGAAAGTTGACCTGGCACGATAATCACAGTAATTAGTCGCAGATCTCTACTATAAAGTCGCATGCCCTTGTGACGTCATTACCTTTGACAACCGCGCAAGGTCTTCAACGCGTAGATATGATAGGCACTCGAAGTACAGCGTATCATTCTGCAACGTGTACAAATGTCTTAGTTAAGAACTGTCCCCGCTTAAAAATAATAAACAAAACTAACCTTTTGTAGTAATCCGTACAAGAGGTCATCTGTGGAGGTGACGGACTGGGCTGGAAGCAGCGATTTCCCAGGAGACTTGGCCTCTCTCACGTCAATTTCCCACAAACAGTCCTCAATGGCCAGCCATTCAGTAGCAGACTGTGGGAGAAGAAGTTGCTCACCACTCTGTTAGAAAAAAAATCTAGTTAGACGGTTAATTGTACAGATATTATTGTGAATTACCGTTGACAGCGAGTTGGTGCTTGACGTTGGAGCTGAACTCTGTCGGATGATTCGCGTCTCTCCAGTCGCGTAGCTGAGTTTGCCTTGAATAGTCTTGCGGATTGACGACAGCATGCTGACTGTTCTTCGTGGAGTGATCGGTTTAAAACTCGCTGTACGTGGCGATGGGGACGTCGAGCGACGAATGCGACTCGACTGGGATCCACCAGCCTGTTTGTCTTCACTACCCACTGAGTACGTTGTCAGTGTTACTAGCTTGGATGGCTTTGCTGTTATTTGCTCCATGGCAACACCGTCTTCACACTTGTGTAGATGTGGCACTATTTTTCCAGCTTCAAAGTCTTCAAAAGTGATCGATAAACCAGTACTTTCGTCGTCCTCGTCACTTCCCGATACCGTTTCGACTCCATCCGGGGCAGTCGACGAATTCGATCCATCCACTTCAGTCCACGCGTCGGACGTTGAGCTTGACATCTTTGTCAGCTTTGAACTGACCGATAAGGATACACAGCATGGCGTGTTATTTACAGTTGCCGGGATTTTCAGCGGCTGGTTGGCTTCAGCCAAGATCTCCTTCTCGGAAGACAAAAGACTCGATAACACCGTTTCGTTGGCATTCCGAAAGAAAATTGCGGTTTGCAGGCGCTATATCGAAGTAAAATAATAAATATCAGCAGCTGTAGACCTTTATAGAATTAACTGACCGTAGTGCTGAATAAATCCATAAAATTAGCAGCTCCCGATTCGTTCGCGAGCTCTACAATATCCAGTCAGCTATTGGTAAAAAAACACAAATAAAACACTAAAAAAAATTCCAAATACATACCCAATTGAGGCAACAGCAAAGCTTCCACCTCCTGCAGAGCTGCCGCCACTCGGTGAAGATTTTGTTCCGTGTGTGCCCGTTTATCGTCGTCCTCAAGACTCGACGACTGCATCTTCATTATCACCTCACGCAACATCTTCGACTCCGCTGCTAATTTATCCCAAGCATTGATTTCCGCCCTCAAATGTTCATATCGTTCCAGTCTCGCTTGTAGCGGATCCAGCACTGTAAAGCGGATTGACTGTTCCATCCTCTCTGCTTCCTGCAACTCGATTTGTTTCATCGCTGATCTATAATCTTCTCCGACGCAATTTTCCTCCTCAGCACTACAAAAAATAACAACAAATAAGTCAGCAATATTTAAAAAAATTAAAATTGCATATCTGATTTACCTGCAGGTATCGGAGAAGATCTCCGCCACTGTAGCCATTGTAGCGCACGCAACCTGCAACACACTTGCTCTGTAAATTTTTCAAAGGCAAATTCCTTAAGAAAAAAAAATCATGCACCTGAATCTGGTCCAGCATCTGTGTCAAGCGCTTCTCGAGTCTCCTGAGAGCTCTATCCTGTCTAGTAAAATGCCACACAGCCGCCTCGAAACACGTGGCGTTGTCTTTGAGTGGTATCAGCTCTTCTTCCTCCTCTGGCGTCTCCTTGACGCCGCCACGCGGCGCATAGCGACCAATTTTCCTCCGCAAAACTTGCAGCATCTTGACTTCTCACCCCTTTCCTCGAGTTTTTCTTCTTGGTGAGCGCAGATGCGCGTGATTGGCGCTGCCAGTGGCTCGGGGAAATTCCGTCCCTCAACGGCAACAAGCGCGGGGCTTTCCTTTTCCCCTTCGTCCCATCGCAATTTCCAACGTAACGGCTGGATTTTTTCATAATATTGGCAAAATAGGAAAACAACAAAAGAACTTTTTGCCTGTTGCATTGGCAACTCGAAGTGATGGGCTTGTTCCGCCAAAAGAAGAAGTCCACACATGCAGGAGAGAAGGACGAGAAGGTGGAAGCCGACATCCCCCCACCGTTGATGACGATGCTCAAGTCAGTGCAGGAAATGGACAGGAAACCGCCCGTGACGCTCGCGCTAATGGGTCCGTTTGGCAACTTTTATCAACACTTCGTCGCAAAAGTGACCGTTAGATGATTGGGGTAGGGATCATGTATTTGCTACATGTGCAAGCCAAGCGGATGCCATCGTTGCTGCTGTCGTATGCGCTGTGAGTGGATTACTTGAGATGGATTAAGTAACCCAAGGTACTGAGTGAATGTTGAAGATGTCCTGGCAAAGTGGCAGCAAATAAGGAAATTGGGGCGGTGATCCTTGCACCTTTCATTCACTCAGAGGAACTCTATCTGTACCAGAGCATGAGAGCATGCATGAAATTGTAGTGGTGGTGTGATTTTCATGATGATAATGTTGATGCGCTAGGTTGTCTTTCCTGTGGAAAGGGTACAAGCTTGAGGGTCGGCTGGGAAGTATCGGCTTCTGCATACTTTTGGTCTATTTGATCGTGGTGTCTCAACTTCTCATCGTGTTTGGTGCACACATGATCTCAATGGTTCGTCGTCGTATGGTTACTGTGCCAGTGTTTCGGCAAACTCAAGAATTTTTGTTGCAGGGGGCAACACAAGAGTGTTTTACCGGTTTTTCAGGAGTGCTCACGGCGATGAAGGTTTGTTTTTGATAATTACAATACCACGTTTGTCCTACAATACTTTCTTCAAACTTACAGTTACATTTTCGCCAGGTGATTTTAAATGTCAACTCGCCAACTTTCACGAAACTCTACAGTTTCAAAATCCCGACAAAATACGCAGCGTGGCTTGAGCTGTTGATCACGTATCTTCTTGTCCCGAAGTTGCCATTGCTGGCTCAAGCTGCTGGGCTCGTTGCAGGTATGTTGCCAAAGGAAAAGATGGGTTGCATCTGATATTTTCTCACTTGCAGTGAAATGTTACTTTTGCAGGATACATCTACGTCGTGACTCCAAACGCAGAAGCTCTTGTTGGGTGTGCATCGCGACACGTTCATCGACTTCTAATTCGATTTGGGCTCATCAAACGACCCTTTCAATGGTATCAGATCTGGTCAAAATTTATGGATTCCATGCAACGAAGAAAAAAACGTCGAGCAGCACGAAAAGAATTATAGTAGTCATCCAGAAAACTGTGACTTTAAAAACCTAAAAAACTACAAGTTGCTCGGCTAACCAACGCCATCTTAAAAAAGCTGCTGGAAACTTTCTGGCTGGATGGTGTATTGCGCAGCCTCGCCTCCGCCTTTGTTGCATTCTTCCAACATGAAAGTCACCACTCCGCAATTATTCATCTTGGCAGATTTCGCGTCGTGGAAGACGTTTCGAGGGAAAAACTCGCGAAAAAACGCGCGAAACCACAGCGAGTGGCCGTACACGACCACCACGTCTTTCTGTTGATTAAAGACCCACTGCGCGAACGCCATGAGGCGGTCACGACCGCTTCCCAGCACCGTCTTATTGCCGTGGCTTTCTGCCACGTTGAACAGCTCCTCGTGACGCTTCTCTCCTCGTAGAGCTTGCACCAGCACTTCAGGCTGAATGGTGTGTGGCTGACTGATAGCCAACGTGTCGAAGTTGCGGCCAATCTCCTGCAGACACGAGAGCACGTGGATCCTCTCGCCTGGCACTTCCAGTCTCGATGCTGACGCGATGCGCGCTGTGTCGATAGTACGACGCAAGTTGGACGCGACTACGACGCTACCGGGAAGTGGACAGCACAGATAACGCAGCAGCGCGTCGTCCTCCGTCTGTTGCACGGAGTGGTGGTGTGTGTGTATTGACGGTAAAGTCTCCGTAGTGGATCCATTGCCGCCCACCAAGCCAATTGGCGCCTCACACATGTGGTCGTGAAGACTCTGGGCCTGGAAGCGTCCGCGCCAACTGAGTGGCGAGTCCAAGAAGACCGAGTCGCCAGTGGGAAGCAGCAGCCATTCGCGTACTATGGCACGTAGGAGACTCACGAGCATGCGGAAATTAATGCCGCGGTTGAAGACGACATTCCACTCGGACTCGGCGTGGCGCACAAATAGGATACGCTTGCGTTTGGTAACAACGGCGGTCTGCGGGTCTAAAAGCAATGCTGCTGACTCAGCATTGGCTTCGTTTGCTGCTGTTGCGGATGCTGCGCTGTCGGGAGCTACCTGTAGCCAATGCTTGTCGCTGGAGAACAGGAGATGTAGCAGCGCCACACTGAACAGCTGTAACTTCCACGCGACATGGTCCGTGGCGTCCAGCAACGAGGGCCATACGCCGAGAGAAAGTAGCCGACGACGCACACCCCGATTCATGCTGCTCAATTGATCCTAAATCAGATCTGGTAGTTTTTTTTACTGATTTACAAATTTAGGGAGATCGGTTTTTCAAATCGGCTCTAAAAAAGCCCTCAAGTCTTTTATTTTAAAATATTATTAGACACACCTATCACGGCAGATGAAATCTCAAAAGTTCTTCGTCGACTTCGCAACAACCGGGCATCTGGCCCAGACGAACTCCCGGGAGAACTGCTCAAATACGGTGCTACTGCACTGTCACCCCGCTTAGCAGAGCTTATTAGCTCAAGCTTCGAGCGAGGAGAGCCACTAGACCTCGGCGAAGGCACACTGCTGTGCCTCCACAAACCCAACAAGCCAAGAGGCGAATGCTCCAGTCTACGCCCCATCGTGCTCTTAACAGCATTAGGAAGGCCGTTTCGATCCTCGTCCTCAATCGAATTTCTCCGGCTGTGGAGAAGTTTCTCTGGCCCCATCAATGCGGCTTCAGGAAACACCGCAGCACGGCAGATGCTGTATGGACACACCGGTGGCTGTGCGCACGCGCACAACGTTACCGCGAGACCATTCATATCCTTGGTATTGATCTCTCTCGGGCTTTCGACACGATTGACAGACACAAACTACTCCAGGTTTTGCAAACCTTCCTGACTGACGACGACATCCGACTAATCCGACTCCTGCTGGCAAACACGACGCTGGCACTTCGAACAGGACGCCGGACGATGGCCCCTTTTTCCAGCACCACTGGAACTCCACAAGGTGACTCGTTATCCCCCGTGTTGTTTGTTACCTTAAGGCAGCTCTTCGTGAATTAGCTAGTGAACTAGATGTATCTTACAGCCTATTAAAGCAGATGGTAGTGTACGCCGACGACGCTGATTTTATCTGTCCAGACGAAGCCACTATCCAAGTGATCCTTGATCAAGTACCAGGAATTCTCGCCCGCTGGTCACTCACGATGAATGTTTTCAAGACCGAAATCACCCAGATCCGTCGTCACTCCTCGAACAAGAGCAGCAGAAGAACGATGGCGCTCTGCCCGAAAGCTCGGATCCTTACTCGGAGACTCGGAAGACCTGGCCCGACGGAAGACGCTTGCCGCGGCTGCCCTACGACGCCTCTGGACGATATGGCTCCGGTCCCAGATATCAACGGACGCGACCAGGATTCGTCTTTACAACTGCTATGTGCTCCCGATTCTCTTGTACAACTGCGGAACATGGGCGCTGACAACCTCGGAACTACTGCATCTGGAGAGCTTTCATCGTCGACAACTACGCAAGGTCCTGAACATCCGCTACCCGCGTCGAATTGCCAATGCTACCCTCTATGAGATCAGCAGAGAACGACCCTACGACATCGTATCACGGCGGCAAGATGGGGACTCTTCGGTCACATTTTACGTCGCCCCGACATTCCAGCTTCCGTACAAATGCAGGCCTACTTTGCTCCGAGTACCGCAGGTAAGTGGCGCGACCGACCTCGCACAACGCTTCCTCTAGTTCTCGACGCAGACCTCCTCGCAAGTGGCTGCGGTCTCAGACTTCGCAGCGCCCACAATCTTGAACAACTTCGCAAATTTGCTTCTATACGACCAAAGTGGAAAAAACTTACCACGGCTATCATCGACACGCTACCAGCGACTGGAGACTCGACGTATGCGGACACCACCCTATGCCGCCGACTAGCTAAACTGAGTCTAGCACAGGCATAATTTGGCTACGCGAACACGTAAACCATTACATTACAGTAGACATACAGTGACTAAATGGAAGGGAGGGGAATATCATTAATGTCACCTCAGTTTTATAAAGTCCAAAACGGGAGTTGATTTCGGCTCTACGTTACTAGAAAATATGCGCCTTTTTATTCAAATTTGTTAGAAAGGTGTTATAGAGGAAGTAGGTGTCGGAGAGGATAAAGTGAAGAAGGTGGAGTGAGACCAAGAAGAAAAGTCGAAAAAGGATTGATGTAGGGCTTAGCTTAAAAAATAAAAAACAGATACTTGGTGCAATCATCATGAGCCTGCACTCTCTTATATGTACCCCAAGACGACACTTTTGGAAGCCCCACGTTGCTGCTCATTGAATCTCCATTTGATGACCCGGGGCTGATACGTGACCAGTTGTGAACCTCAACATTCTTGTACAACCCTATATTTGTCGACTTGTGTTGCCTTAGAAGTGGCTGTAGACTACAGTGTAGTCAGCTATGGGAATTTTCGTCGCTCATTGCTGCGAACCCAACACTACCACAAAGATCGCTGCGAAAACGCTCAAACTTCGTTCTGCCGAGCTTCGTGAAATGGTCCGCCACCATTTCGCTGGTAGGACACTAGCATACCCGCACGTCTCCACTCGCCACTTTTTCTCCTAACCAATGATACTTCGTGTCAATATGACGGACCGCTGAGTCACGCCTTTGCCTTCCGCGAGATACTGCGCGCCTTGGTTGTCCTCCAGAGCGACGATTTCGCCAATCTTGATCCCCAAATCTTTCAACACCATCATGAGCCCGATATATTCCTGGACTTCACTTGCCATAGCAACGTATTCTGATTCAGTCGATGATAGCGTTACCATTGTCTCTTGGAGCCCCAATCAACCAGACTGCCATTGTAATAGATAGCGTAACCAGTTGACGACTTGCGCTCCCTTTCAACAGCGACAGCAGCATAACAGTATACCATGAGATCTTTATGCTTACTGGATTTTACACCGCTAAACGTCAGTCCGAAATCATGCGTACTGAAATGTACGATCAATCCCTTTTTGCACAGCTGCTGTTGGGATCCCGGGTTCTTGGGCCAGCCAGCGCACAGTGGTGGACAGATCCGGTCCTGTTAGTACGGCTAAGTACAGTAAAACACCGAGTGCCGACCGAGGCTTGAAGACACACGGCTCCTGCGCTTGGAACATCGGTTCCGGTAGTGTTCTTTCATTGGAGTCGGCGAAGGTCGACACTTGATGATTGCAAACCTTTCTAGTACACTGGATGCGTAGTTAGCCTGACAAATGCTCACTTCATCACCAGCCGGAGACCATTGAAGCTTCAATCCTAAGAAGTAGCTAAATCCTGCAAAATGGTTCACATCGTAGGCATTTTCCACGGCGAACTTGAACACTGTCAATGCTTTGTCATCCGTGCCGAACACCAATATATCATAGACGTAAAATAGCACAATCATCAGCTCATCACCGTCAATTTTCACGAACAAACACGCGTCAGCTTTGCCTTGGGTAAACCCACAGCTGATAACTAAGCTGTCCAGTTTTCGTATCATGCCCTCGATGCTTGTTTTAAACCATACAACGCGCGACGGAGAAGCCAGACGTAGCCATCCATGTTTTTCGTATCCTTCCACGGGTTCCAGATAAATTTCCCCTCGCAACTTTGAGCTCAAAAAGTAGTTTAAATGTCGAGCTGTCGTCGTTTCATGCGTCACTCTACCGCTACAGCCAGCACCAGTCGAATTGTACTATGACGCACTACCGGGCTGAACGTTGCTGTGTAGTCGCCACCAAATCGTTGACAGAAGCCTTTTGCGACCACTCTAGCCCTGAGCTTGTCAAGACTGCCGTCAGGATTGATTCTCTTCTTGAAGACCCATTGGGATTTGATCGCTTTGCGACCTGTAGGTAGCGGTATCTCCACAAAAGTCTCGTTCTCAATTAGATTCTAGATTTTTGCTTCCATTGCTTCGTCCTACTCACTTCGATCGTCACTGCAACGCACTTCGAAGACGTTAGTTTAATCAACAGCAAGGGCTTGCTGCTCCACATCACTTGGAGCCATTAGTCTGTTCACAAAGCCGTCAGCCATATTTGTGCCATCATATACAGCAGGTGCCACGTGTTCTTCGATGTAGGCGCAAACCTCACCCAGGGACATTTGCGTTTCTTCGAAGGCAAGACGTCGCTGACTTGGCTTAGACAACCTAGTTGATCGGTGAACAGGTGACATTGCTTTCTCCAGGCACGGATCACCTTGTAAGCGCGCCTAAAGTCGTGCAGCTCCCACTGGTTCTGAGCCTGCCGTAGGCTGATAGGGTGTCTTGATCTCCGCCGGGGTCACGACCGCGTCTTCTTTCTCCTCAGTAATATTCTCCAATCGTAATTGCCGATCGGTACGATCCACTAAGTCAAGCTGTACGGTATCCAGCTGTGTATTGATCATGACTTCGTCCTTGTCAGCTGGAGGAAGAAAATTGATTCTCGTAGAAGACTACTGTCTGAGCTGTAATTGTTTCGCCAGTACCGTGATGCGAGAAATGCACCAGGTAAGCGCCACCTGTAGCATACCCCACGAATATCCCATTTTGCGTCTTGGCGTCTAGGTTTCTGTGGTGTCCCTCAAGAATCATGGCCTGGACCTTGCATCCAAAGGCGCGTAAGTTACGGATGTCAGGCGGCATGCCGAGTAGCGCCTTCATTAGCGTTTTACCGTCTAGCACCTTTGTAGGGCTACTATTCCTAACATACGCCGCACATACAACGGCATCAGTCCAGTACGTCATTGGTAGGTTTGCTCCCAGCATCATTGAGCGAGCCATTTTCTCACAATCACACGATTTCCGCGCTCCACCTTGCCATTTTGTTGAGGGCTGTAAGGTGTTGAGAACTCCTGCACAATCTCGTGCTCGTCGCAGAACGCAGCAAACTCGCCACCAATGTATTCAGCAGTATTGCCAGATTTGAGGGACACCACGCAATAGCTTAGGGCGCAGGCTTTTAGCTTGGTGATGCAGTCCTTAACAGCGTCTAGCTGTACACGAGAGCTCTTTTCCCGAAGTGGATTTACCGTTTCCAGGTGAAACTGCTCCACTACAATATTCGTCCTACAAGTGTATCCATCACGAGCCGTCACCTGCATCGGATCGACATAATCAACTGACAGTAACACTTGATTCTTCTTCAGCACTCGTCTTGGTTTGTTGGCGAAGGGCTTCCGGGTCAATTTCCCGCTGACGCACGTCGGGCAGGACCGCTCAATAGCCCCTTGCCACGGTAGCTTCAGGCCTTCCAGTAAAGTCTGCACACAGGGCGTATTGAGATGTCCGAGTCGGCGGTGCCATATCGCAATGTGCGGTGCATCAGCTGCCATTAATGCAGCGTGCTCTGCAGCTTCACTCACCGCTTCCACCACGTACATTGGCCGGTCGTTTCGTGATGCCAGCTACCACTCCATCTGGCAATGAAATCGTGTATGATGTACCCCTGAACTCAATTGCCATTCCACGCCGCGACGCAGCCGCAACCGACACGAGATTTGTTGCTAGGCCCTTGACAAAGAGAACATCTTGTAAAACACAGACTTCTCGACCGCTCCTAAAGAGCGGTGCCTTTCCGACTGCCGTCGCGACCAGCTTGTCACCTGACGCCACCGTCAGCACCCGGGGTTCTTTGAACGTGTGTACATCAATTAAATTGTCTTGTGGCGCCATTGTCCACAATCCAACTCCGCTTGTTTTCCTCTGCCACATCGGCCACGGTAAATGCCATACTGGAGGCTTCCGCCGACTGTAACACTCGTGCAGCTCCGGGAAAAATGTCCCATCTTGTTACAATTGAAGCACTTCACTTTGGTCATATCCCTCTTCTTCTTGGAATTGAATTCTTTCTGCTTACCCGACGCTTGCTCAGCACTGAATGCAGCAGCTGCTTTGCCACTGTTAGACACAGAGCTTGAGCGTCGATTGCTCTGTTGATCACGCCGGATTGCTTCAGCATGGCAGCGTTGTATCATTCACTCAAACGTTACACACGATTTAAGCACACCAACGAAGCCATTCCATGCAGGTCCAAGTCTCTGCATAACGTTCTGACGCTTTTCATCGTCAGAAATCAATACATGCTGCTCCTTCAGCTCATCGAGAACACGCCTTGTGTTCTGGATGTGCTCGAACATCGACTCGTCCTCATCTAGGTAGATCCCAATGTACTCCCGCTTGGCAGCACTAACACTGGCGCTGCACTTGACATTGTAGGTCATGCGCAAGTGCCGCGGCATAGCCAGCGGATGATCGAGTAGATAAACCTCAGCAGCCAATTTCTCACTCAGTGCTGCGAGAATGATGGTTGATGCAATTTTCTGCTTCATTAAGCAGTCGTGCAGCGGCGTAATCGACACCGCAGCAGACACCATCCCAGCCGGCAATGGCGTCCCCGACGCCAATGACGTTCCAGCTTCTGTTGCCACTGCAGCGTCTGGCTCAGCCTTGAGCTCGAGGTCGGTGGGTCTAGGCAACTGAATTGCATCTCGTAGCCCCTTGATCTCAAGAGCTAGCTTCACCTGAGCACCCCACGCTGGGAGCCCGGTTCCACTGAACTGCTTCAGTTTCGTCGTTAAGCTCGAAGGCGTTGTCGCTGACATTATAACCTGTTAGAAAGGTGTCGAAGAGGACGAAGTGAAGAAGGTAAAGTGAGGCGAGATGGGAAACTGAAAAGTGAATGATGTAGAGCTTAGCTTAAAAATACAAAAACAGAAACTTGGTGCAATCATCATGAACCTGCACTTCCTTATATGTACCCAAGACGACACTTTTGGAAGCCCCACGTTGCTGCTCATTGAATCCCCCTTTGATAACCCGAGGCTGATGCGTGACCAGTTGTGAACTTCAACATTCTTGTACAGCCCTGAGTTTGTCGACTTGTGTTGCCTTAGAAATGGCTGTAGACTACAGTGTAGTTAGCTCTGGGAATTTTCGTCGCTCATTGCTGCGAGCCCAACATAATTGTACTGTTTGCCTGGCAGGCGTATATGAGAGCTATCCACTGCACTAAGCACTGTTAGAGGAGGTTATTTGGCGCCTCCACGATCGCTCCGTTTCTTTAGGCCTCCCTGTCAAGCCACAATTCAAATAGTAATTTGATAGTTAGGTCATCCCTCCTTATGTGGCCCACACTCAGCATAGACCTACCCCATTCATAGGATATGGTAGAATATGAAGTTTTATCGGACCTCACTTATATTTTGTATTGGTATCTTACAGCCAATGATATAATTTTGCTGTGGTACTAACCAATAGCTTTCAAGATGATAATGCTATTTAACCAATCAAATTAAATAGGGGTAGGCGAGTCCTCTACGCCAGCCGATCGGACGTATCACGTCCGATCGATCCGCAAAATATGTGTATGCGTATCCAAACTCTAAGTCATTGACATATCACTTGCATATTTTGCTTTTATCGGACCAGTGAATCAGTGACATGGGCTTAGACGAACTACAGCCTGGTAACACCTTGCGGGCTAAGGCAACAGCCATCGGTGCGTTCGTCAAATTCCTCAAAGAAGAGGAAGTTGAACAGGAATACATAAGGAAGTGCATTGATAGTGACGAGAGCGGAAAAATGTTCGTGTGTGTGATGGATAAATTTGGTATGTATCTTGCATTCAAGGAAGGGAAGAGAGGTAAACCAATAGCTCGCAACACTGCCATGCAGTACTATCGGCAAGCAAAGCTTTGGCTGCTCGACCAGTTCCCTAAGCACCGAGCTTCATTGGAAGCCCGGTTGCTGAAAATGGGAAAGACACTAGACAGCTTCTGTCTGAAGCGAGATGGTGGTGGGCTCGTAGCGAAAGCACCACCTTGTACGAAAGATGATTTGAAAAGAATGATGTTGTATTTGTACACTTATGCTAGCTCAGAAAGTGACTATCAAGATGCAACTTTACTATGTCTTCTCTGGTACTTGTTCGGTCGCGCGTCTGACCTAGCCATGGTCCGCAAACACAACATGTCAGTGGACGCAGGCGACGTCTTCTTCCTGCGCTTGGTTCGCGTGAAGACGTCTGAGGAGCAGGGGCTGTCGCTCTTTCCTGATACGGAATTGGCTACGTGCCCCTTGCTCTCCATTGCGCTCGCCTTGATCCTCCAAGCCGCCCCAGGACCAGCCCTCGTCAGCAACCTCCCAGAACAAGCAGGCTTCGCAGGCTCCACGCTTTCTCCCGACGTCCCGCTGATCGAGCTACTCAACGCTCCGCAAGTCACAACTGGTCTTGCCGCTCCAGCAGCTCCGCCGCGCGTTGCCACAGCCCCTACAGTATACGCGCACGTTAACCGGGTGCTAGACCGTGTAGCGTCTGCTGCTGGTGTGGATGTCGCCTTGACATTTGAACCAGCGTCCTCAAGGCAGAGCCCTGTGCTCTTCCACTGAGCTACGTCGTCGTTGGGTGAGGGGGTGAGTTTGGGTGAGGTGAGATGAGGTGCGGGGGGGGGGGGCTGTAAAGGAGGGGGGGGGGCTGAGGAGCGAGAGCCTGAGCTGTGGGGCTTGAGCGGTCGAGTTGGAGGTCTGCGTAGTTGGGCGAAAAAAATTAAGACTGAGCGTAGAGGCCTCATTGTCGGGACCCGTTTTGTGTGTTTTGAGCTCTTCTAGGCTGTGAGCCACAGGTTGGGTGCGAGTCTAAACATACTGAGGTGGCAGGATAGGATTGGTGAAAAATCGACCAATAAGTGCGTACATCTGTAACTGGCTGTCGCTGGTGCTCTTAATAGTGGACCCCGCCACGAAAATCGGGGGCTCATTGTTGAATTTACCTGGCTAAGAGCACATGGCTCCTGGTCGCAAAATGCATGTTTTTGTTTTTTTAGCTTTTCTCAGCCCACAGGCGGTTTCAGGCCATTTCCTTGCGCCTATAAACATGGTTGAAATTCTCACTGCAGCCGATCCCCATCTCGGGGTGTCTCCCCTACCCCCATGCAGTACCGCAGCTGTCAGTAAAATGTACATTCAAAAGTGTTCGTACGGTGTTTGTTTTTGCATTTTGTACCAGCTTTGAGGTACAGGTCCGATGGGTCCGAGGGTCCGATAAATTTTGGTATGTACGATTATCGGTGCTTTAAAGTAGGATATTGTCATGGCGCTGTCATTTCGGACGAGTCCCCAAATACTTCGAAGTACATGTACTTCTCTGATCCGAAAAATAGATACCAGCTCTTTATTTCGGCGATAACTTCGGTCGTACAGCTCCGACGGAAGCGTGGTTGAGCTAGTTTGAAAGCTCTACTTACGTAGCGTCAGCACGATTTTTTAATGAACAAATTTCCCGCCAATTTTGATGATACCTGACCATTTGAACTATCACTTTATGGAGGGGTGAAGTTTTTTTTTCGCTTTGATGTCAAAAATTATCAAAATTTAACTTTAAAAAAAACTTGAAAAAGTGCAAACGGAACTTAATCTAGTGGTGTATCACTAAGAGCAATTAAATCCATTTTCTCTCAATCCGTGTGCATACAAATCCTCAGACGAGCTCAATTTACCCAATCGTACCCATCTCAGAATGGACGTTGACCAATCAAACATGCGAAGTATTTCTTTTCGGACCGGAGAAGTACTACGCTATTTCAGTGTGGTTTATTCTGATCCTCGAGGCTTAAAAAATTTAAGCTAGATTTTAGTAAAACCTCAAATACCTGGTTTTCAAATTGATCTCATTATAGCTATCGAATAAAAATAGACAGTTTTATTAAAATAGATAATTCTAGTGATATTACATTTTTCAACACCGAAACCCTGCATCCTAAAAATAACCGGAGCTTACAATAAGAGACATCAGATATCACGCCCGAAAAAGGGTAACGAATTCTGCTACAATACCTTTTTGCTCAGGGCTCTCAACGAGCGGGGATATTTGTTGGATCACATCTCTAACGGGTATTAATTCAAGCGATTAGGCCCTGGTATGTTTGTCGATGCTTCCATGGCGAAACCACACATCAATGGTGTTGCTGAAAAGCTGACCTCATCATTGCTGGCATGGCCGAAATAGCAGGTGGTCGGAAGACCTGGGCTATTTTACAATACAGCTTCACTACTGTAAAAATCCGTTGTCGCGATAGCAATAGTGACGTGTGTATCGAGTGTCCCCGATACCCGGGCCACGCGATCAGATATTCATTGTTAGTATATCCGTACCTACAGCATAAAGCAGCGAAATGGGCCTAGGTGATCCCTCAGTCGAGTTTTCTCACCGAAGTCAAAGACTGGTGCTGAGTAATGGTGCAGAATTCCACAGAGACGTCCACCACGGAGATCAGGCGAGAAGATGCCGTCCAAATCGAGGTCTTAATCTCGTATCCTACTCCAGCCATGGAAAATCATTCAAACAGCGACGTGCGCAAGAGAAACCAATACTGTTGCATGGATTTGGTAATCGACCCTGACAAGAAACTAGAAACAGCGTTGTTGTCGTGGATTAATAGCAAGATTCCTTTCGATCAAGATCAGCGTGGAAATGTACCCGAAATGTATGATCAAAGCAGCGAGGCACCCAACATGAAGATAACTGTCCAGCTAGCTGCCCCTCAGCGCAAACGCACATCAAGATATCTGTGCGAAAGAGATCGACGGGAGATCATTAAGCGGATCGATGACGGTGAGCAGCAGGTCACGCTTGCCAAGGAGTTTAGCGTGAGCCGTGCTGCGGTTTGCAACCTCTACAAAAACCGCCAAGAAATACTTGCCCGCGCAGCAAATGATCCGAGAGCAACACACCCAAAAAAGTCTCACAAAAAGGCAACCAGCCCACTATCGACGAACATAATTTCTCAAGCGGATATGGTTGGTCCAATAGCACTCTCCCCCTGTGTACCTGTCGATACCATTCAGCTTCGACGCTCACACAACGATTATACAAGTGGCACTTCCGAGACTGAAGACGAAGCTACTGCGTCACACCAGTACAGAACCCGAGCGAGTAGTCAACAGAATCCTTTTCCAGGGGTGATGCAAGAGCTGACCGTTTCCCTGCCATTTCAAGTACACGAGGCTTCAGCACACTCGCGTCACTGTATGAGCTTGGTGTCGACACTAAGGGATAATAGTATCAGCACATCGGTATTTCAACAGCGAGTGACTCGCTTGGCACGGTTGTTGATCGAAGAAGCACTGGCATGCTTGCCATACGAAAACGAAGAGGTCACAAATCAATATGGAGATATGTGTCGTGTAACGAAGACACTGGATGAACGAGATATCTGCGGGGTGTCTATGGAAGGTAGGGGCACCGTGTTGCTTCGAGCCTTCTCGGACATCAGCCCAGCATCTCCAGCTGGTATCGTCTCCATAGATTCAGCAAATGAATGTCCACCACATGTGAAGGCTCACCTACCGACAGTCAGCACAGGTCAAGTCGTGTTCCTCTTTGACATTCAGTGCGCAACTGGGGATAAAGCATGTGCAGTTCTTCATCATTTAACCCAGGACAGACAAATAGCTGCTGACCAGATTTATTTCGTGACAATGATCAGCTCCCTTGAAGGGCTGCAGAGTCTTTCCAGGTAAGGGTACACCACGGAAAACAGAATTCGCTACCGACATCTCACACGTTCATTGTCGTTCGCAGGCGTGAAGTTGGTGACAGCTCAAATGGACACCGTATTGGACGAACAACAGCGCATTCGACCAGGTATTGGCGACTTCACGCAACGCTTCTGGAGAACTGGGACAAGTGAATTTATAGTATGAGTGATTTGTCCTGTTGATAAAGTCGCGTTTTACGATAAATGTAGACGAAGATTAAATTTCCCAATTGTCTTCTTAATGTCCGGTGCCGAATCGAGCCAAACGCCGGCGTCGAAGTTCGCTTGGGCTGATGTGTTCAGGTGTTGGTTGTCCTGGCTGCGGCTGTGGAGCAGCATGATCTTGGTATTCTTCTTCTTGAAGACGTCGTGCTATGTCTTCGTCGGTCTCAAAAGAGGACGTTGGAGGCCTTGAATAGCGTGGAGGTGGAGTGTCATGTCGATAGTAAGTAGGACCAGCAACTGCTCTCAGCCATCGGCTGAATGCACCGGCTCCGGAAGTCATAACTGACTGCATCACTGAAGAGTACACGAACAAGTAACCTGGTACAAAGGTACAAACAGGTGAGACTACAGCCACAACACAGTTCCCACCAGACCTACCAGCTAGGATGCCGCACATGTGGCCAATGAACGAGCTTCGCGGTACCAGGAAATGAATCACCACCAGCTCCAGCCATGCCGCATACTTGGTAGGCACTTGAAAGCCGTAAACCGACGAGAATGCTGGCGAGTTATGATTCAAAAGCACCTACACAAAAGACGCAATAAGGTTATTCACCTTTTAATCAGAGCTCATACCCTTATTTTACATCACCTTTAGAGCAAATAGCACTCCGGAGAACCCCACACTACACTGATGCAATGGTCCCTACATAAAAACAATTGGCAATAAGTGTGAGCTATTATAATTGCCAAGCAGAGCAAATAATGTGCGTACCGGCATTTGGAACCCTGTTGCAAGCACGAGTGCCACCACTACGACTAGCACGTGGCACAGCACGAGTAAATACACCACCGTTAGAAGGAAGCGCACGCTCCCCATCTTGTACTCAAGGTTGCATCCCTTCCACAAGAACGAGACCCTTGTAAACAAGTCAGTATCTTCTCTTTCCTGTCTTTTCTCAGGCTATTTGCACTCACATGTTATGGTACAAGTGCCAGTCATCGACGTGGATGAGTCCCGATGCCACAATACGCGTCAAGTCCCAATGACTGAGCACTCGGTCGGGACATCTGAAGTACAGCGTTATAGAACGTCAGTGATCAACATTCTCTATGGTGCTGTGTTTATTGACTTACAGCGAATATGGGGAGAAGAGCTCCGGTGATTGCTCTTTCTGGAAATGAAGTCCGTACATTAAAGCTACAAAGCGCACCTCAAAACTGGTCATTAAGGAGATAGCTTTAAGCAAAAACTTACTGCGAAATACGCAGTACGTACCCATGAGTCCGAGCGTAACCGGCGGTTTGCGCTCCAGCTGCTGAATCTGTTGCATGAGCATGAGCAACAGTGCGATGCCCTGGCCGTTGCGCCCGGCGTTGGGGCCAACGCGCCCGCGGCGTCCGACGTTAGGCCTGAACATGGTTTTATGTAAGATTAAAATGCTGCGACTTTACGATGTTGCACGAGTGTAAAATTTGTAGACGAACTTCAACTTTCTCGAATATGCGGCGCAACGAAACGAGCGCTTCCGCCACATTCCGAGCTCACAGCTTTCACGCTCTACAGGCGTATAACTTATGGACTTTCTTAAGTGAAAGAATGCGCCAAGCTGCTAAAGAAGTGAATGCTGGTGTTGTGCATGTGTGCTAACCACCGACATTCAATTTTACGGTCACAAGGTACTGCAATATTAGTTGACACCATTAAAGTTGGACATCTTCGAAAGCTGGTATCGATAGACCAACTGAGTGTATAAATTTCTCTGGCAAAGTGCTATCCAAGACAAGCATTGCAATATTGATGGCAACACCGAGAACTTGGACTAAACGCCCATGATTGTGCAGAAAATAGATCCCGTAATTTTAAAAACTTCTCTTCTCACTTCCAAGGTCCAAATCTCTACAAATAGCTCGAAATCTCGAAAACTCGTTTTACTGTACCGTCAACAATTGTACCGTCAACGTGCGTACATGCACTGTACCCTACTCATTTCTCAATTATCCACAAAGAGAAGACGTCTACTTTGAGTCAAAGTTTGACATCACCATGGCACCGTCTTTTGCAGATCTCCTGCCCATACCAGAAGAGCGTCTGCCGACCTACGCTGTGGCCGCGCTCGTGCTCTATTTCTCTCTACGCCCGCTCTTCAACGTGGATCGCGCGCTCGCCAAGATCTGGCCGTCGCTAGTGCTTCTCTTCGCCTACTACCGCTACCGCCTAGCCGTCACGTCATCGCCCACGAGCTTCTTCCTGCAGCTGTGGACGGCAGCGCAGCAGCGCGCCCCTGCGGTGGAAGCTGTCTTCAGCGACACGCTGATGCTCGTGCTGGCCGTCACCGCCTTCTCCAACGCTGTGCAGACCCTACGTCACATGCGCTACGTCTCTCGCAAGAACATGCTGAACGTAGTAGGTGGCGCCGTGGTGAATGCTCTCAAGAAGCTGCCAATCATATCCGCCAAGGTGGCAGACGAGATGCGCAAGATCGAGAGCGAGGTGGAGCACTCGCTCAAGGGCAACGACCCACTGTCCGGCAAGATGGAGAAGCTACGTGCTCTTCCTGATCGAGGTATGGACGACAAGAAACTGCTGACCTTAATGGAAGATCTGGCAGGCAACAGCGACGACAAGTGGAGAGACGGACTCGTCTCAGGAGCTGTATACCACGGCGAGAAGGAACATCTGGACGTGCTGAACAAGGCTTACGCGCTATTCGCAGTGACCAATCCGCTACACGCTGACTTGTGGCCGGCAGTGAATAAGTTTGAAGCTGAGGTCATCGCCATGACGGCAGCATTGATGAACGGAGGCCACCCAGAAGTCTGTGGGACGCTCAGCTCCGGCGGTACGGAGAGCATCTTCCTCGCGACCAAGACGCATCGAGAGCACTACCGTCACAAGCACGGGATTACTAAACCCGAGATCATTGCGTGTGTGACTGCACATGCAGCTATTGATAAGGCCTGTGAGATCCTGGGTATTAGACTAATCAAGGTGCCTATGAACCCCAAGACACTGAAGATGGACCTGAACGCAGTACGCTGGAGCATTTCAGCCAATACGATCATGCTTTACAGTAGTGCCCCCAACTTCCCACACGGCATGATCGACGATATTGAGGCGCTCTCGACACTGGCAGTGCAGAACGACGTCGGTCTTCACGTCGACTGCTGTCTCGGTGGATTCGTACTGCCATTTGCACGCCAGCTCCGTAACGATATCCCTGTATTCGACTTTGCGCTGCCAGGTGTAACCAGCATGTCGTGTGATACACACAAGTACGGCTACGGCTCCAAGGGCACGTCGGTGGTGCTGTACAAGAGCCCGGAGATTCGACGATTCCAATATTTCTCGTACGCGGATTGGACTGGCGGACTGTACGCAACCCCCACGCTGGCCGGCAGTCGTCCTGGCGCACTGAGTGCTGCAGCGTGGGCGTCCATGGTGCGTCTCGGACGTGAAGGATACCTCGAGAAGACGAAGGGGATTTTGGACACTGTGGACGAGATCAAGGCTGGTATCAAGCGTATCGATGGCATCCACTTGCTGGGCGATCCGAAGGCGATGGTGGTGAGCTTCGCTGGTGACAAGGGCGTGAATGCACTTAAAGTCAGTGATGCGATGGCGAAACATGGATGGAGTCTTAGTCCGCTACAACACCCGATTTCGGTGCATTTGTGTGTGACGGTTCGCCACATTGGCAAGGCGAACAAGTTCCTGAATGCACTCGAAGAAGCTGTGAACGAAGTGAAGCAAGACCCCAACCCGTCGCCTGAGGGTGGCAGCGCCATCTATGGCATGGCCTCCAGCTTGCCGGCGGGACCTGTGGATGATCTTCTTCGTATCTACACGGACATTACGCTGAAGGTCTAAGAGGAAAGCAATGGATTTATTTTTTGTATGAGAAAAAGGGTTCTTACATTTTATATTAACGCTCTTGTTTTTTCTGCTTGTTTAATTTGTTATGTCCACAGCGATTTTGTTGAGTTGCTGACCGGGAAAATGTGGCTTGCGCATCTTTCGTGTTGCCTTTGAAGCTTTGGGTTTGCCAGATTTTATCATGTTACAATCCTGAAGTGTCTTGAGATGACCAGTTTGGGTTGCTAGCAATTTCATGCAAATGCCTTTGCGTGGAGTTAACGCCATCCATACTCCGTCACGTGTCAGCGGATTTGAAGCTGTGGCTTTGTTACCTACCGAGAACATTTTATCTTGAGGTTGTTCTCCTTGAAATTCGTACACGAACACATTCTCCAACTCGTTAAGTGAACGTCGCGTGTATTCCAATGCAAGAATGTCACGAGTAAATAGGACTGGCCAGAAAACAGCAGCTCCTGGTGTGGCAGTCAAATCGAGGGCTCCTTGGCGAGCGTACGACACTTCCCATTGCACATCCGACATGGCGTTGTTGGCCCTTGCTTCCCCCTTTTTAGGGATAGCACGTTCTTGTCGTGTGGCAGGATACGATCGAATTGTAAGGTATCTCACCGTCGCAATAAACATCTCTGGATCTCGATTGCTTGCAGCAACACGAAAACACTTTTCGCCAATTCCCACAAGGTTTAAGTTGCGGTCAAGTAGCATTATAAGCGGCCACATTGATCCATCATCTTTGACACCCTTACTTGCCGTGTTTTCTGTATTGTGGTGCTGTATTGAGTCATCCGTTTCTGTCACCGTTGTCGGCGAAGGTGATACCCGTGAGATTCTGATGGCTGTGAATACGTTTTCGGTGACAAGCGACTCGTGTTGTGAGTGCGCAGCTAAGAAGTCCCAGTAATACAATGGTTTTCCGAGCACACACGCGTCACAGTAGAAGTGGAACTCTGTTTTTCCGGTAGCAATTCTAGCGAGAGTTGCTTCAGATAAACTCGCCCAGCGACTGCATGAAAGATGGTACACTTGGCCACAGCCTACCCTTGAACACAGCAGTGACGGACGGATTCGTTTTCGTCTTGATGGTTTCACTGAAATAAGTTTCGTGCAGACAACACAAGTTCGTGATGCCAGTACTCCACTTTCGTCGTAGTGAGCCACGCTCGCTCCTGCTGGTTGCGCAAGTCCAGACGAGCCTCCTAAAGCTCGGCTTCTTGTCACTACAGCTGACGCTGGAGGCGTTTTGGGGCGAAATTGGTCGGCCAGTGAGCGAGCGCGACCGACGTAGTTTTCGATGGCGAGAACGACACTCAACTGAGTGGAGATGGAAGCCGTGACCAAGACGTTTAGATTTTCGCCTTCAAAGTCGAGTAAAACTGGCATTCCCCGCTCTCCTGTTGGGGTCAGGAAGAGCTGGACCGGCTCAAATGGTGCTATAAGGAGGTTACTGAGCTTACGCGTGAGCTGATCCTTTAAAACACCGTAGATAGTCTGTGCAGCGTCCGTGTACCCCACGTTAATCGGTATTATACAACGCTATAAAATTGAAGTCAACAGTACGCACCTCAAGTTTCAGTAGCAAAGCTGGAGCCTTACACATATTCCAGAGTATCGCAGCCGAGTAGATAGCAACATCTGTGGCAGCGTAATCGGCTTGCTTAACGTCGAGTATTTTCAAGAGGACGGAGATTCCACCCAGTTTATCAAGGTGCAGTTGGCAATGGTTTTGCGTGGAGAAGGCTAGCAACGCAGCTGCGCTAATTCGTGCCAGCTCATCATCGCCACTAGAATGAGTGTTTGCCAGAAGAACTGACAGTGGACAGTGGTGTCGATGCGAAATACAATGCCACCTAGGTCACGCAACCAAATCATGCCGAATTATAAAAGAAATCTTCAAAAGAACACAAATAATGTGACCTGTCACAGGAGCTTGCACTGAGTCGTCCTCGCTCTGAATGCGCTAGATTTCCGAGAATGCTGTTGACATTTCAGAGGTTATTAGGCACCACGTAAATATCCATTTATTTTTATGGATACAAAGGTCGAGTACCCAGCGCATAGACGACGTGTAACATTGTTTGTAGCGGATGTGGCGATGAGGGTGACCCGGCGGACACCCTGCGCTTGGACAAATTGGTCTCGCAAGTGGGCATCACGCGCCAGCATTAGTAGCCGCCTCATGTCCATCTCCACATCGGCCGCGTGTTTTTTGCTGTCCTCGTTACGCAGTAGTAGTGCTACCAGCTCATTGAAAGTGTTACCCTCGCGTTCTTCGGCTGTAGCCGCCATTGCCAATACCAACGAGGTTAAAAAAACTTTTGTTAAACGTACGTACTTCCAATGTTCCCATGGTATTAATAAGTCAGTCAGTCACCAGTAGGGCTGTTATTAAGTTGGTTCAATAGTTAAATAGCATTCCATGCAGATAAATGCAGATAAATAGCGATAGAATACGAATTCAATACTGCAACATTATCGGCCATTTGCAACTAAGGTTGTAACGTTATTTTTGAAAATCCTGATCTCTGATTGGCTGCACGTAGCGTATAGACCACAATTGTGCGGGGTGGTGATTGCAACTTGAGTTGTTCACACGGTGGCAGGTTCAGGTCAGTTTTGCAACCCAATCTGATACAAAAAGCAAGTTAGGTTGCAAACGTACTTAGTGTAGAACCAGATATCAAAATCCAAGTGAGATCAAGCTAGAAGTTTGCAAAGAAAGAAAAGAGCGCCACAAGCCCCAGCACTATGGCAAGCCAGTACAAGCGAGAGCTCACGAGGTTCGCAGATTGGAGCAGGGCGACGTTAAACAGCCGAAGTGCTGAACGAAGTCATGCGTTTACGGCGAGAGAACCAGCGAGAGCTACAGAAGATTCAGGCCATACTAAAGCATATTGCCAGGCAGCCAGCTTTTCGGCGCGACGTTATTACGCAGGATATAACTACATCTCCACCTAATCCGCCTCCGACTCGCCGAGCGTCTACGGCTGTACTTTCAAAGCGGCCGAAAGATTTATTCAAACTTTGGCACGAATACCAGGTCGGATGCGGTGACCTGAAAGCAGCAAAAGACTTTACGGCAATCGAGCGTGGTGCGAGCAAATTCGCCTTCTCTAGGCGAAAAGTGTTCTGGGACGTAGTCGCTAGCTTGGTGCGCTCAGGTTTTACCAGTGACGCAGCGATAGACAAGGTATATTCAGTCTATGGTAGGCAGCTCTCAGTGTCAAGTATCTTGGTGGCCCTCCGTGCGGATCGTAAGAATGGCGGCCATCCTACTCTGCGTGTGTAGCTACCGCTTTGTGCGCTTCAACACAGTCATCAGCACTAGTATTAACCAATCAAAATAGGGTTGCAAGCCAGGTTGCACAAAAGGCCGCAATTTTCTACAGTGAACGCAAATGCTACAAATATTTAGTGCAGAGTGTACATATTTACAAGGTGCACAAAAGAGCACAAGCATAGCTGCGGTGATGGCCGGCCAAGCCCGTCAAGAAGACGTGGATCTGCGAGACCTGCCAGAATCCGAGCCGCGATCATAGTAGTGCGAGGCCTGCCACACGTCAAGTGATGGCAAAGAAACCGAGAGCTAGGGATCTAACAACAACGAGGAGACCGCCTTCTGGCCGAGCAGCTACAGGACGATCATTGGCACGGACACGTGCCCAACTCGTACGAAGCTGTCGCGATCCCCGACAGTGACCCTCACAAGAAGAAACCGAAGAAACGACTCAAAGACGACGACTCGGACACCAAAACAGCCGAGTCTTAGCTGGATACGAGCAAGCTCAAGTGGGTCCTGCTGCAGGAGGCCAAGCCGGCCGAAGGTCAGGCCGTTGCGGCCACCGTGGTAATTGAGATATGCAACGAGAGGTCGCGAAACCAGCCCCAGTCCCGCCGGTCGCCTCGGCCAGCGCTAATATACTCGGTAATCGACCTGCCAAGATGATGATTACTAAATATCTTACCAAATGGAAGGGATTCGCCTACATGCACGCGTCGTGGGAGACTAAACAAGTACTGCTAGATCCGGATCCACTCATGAACAAGCACTAGAAGACCATGCGCTTTCATGAAAAGGAACATCTCTGGCTGCAGTATCCACACCACCAAACCGGCGATATGGACGACGATTCTCTGGCGGTTGTTGATGAGTAGGAATACTTAAACATACTCATGACTACGTACAAAGTGGCAATCAAAGACTTTGCCGTGCTCTCAAAGTTCCATTGGTGGTGACTTATAGCGGATGAAGCGCACAGACTTAAGTACCAGCTGTGAATCGCAGCGCAGAGATCAATGTGTGCTCCGTACGGGTACTCATCTGAGAACAAGGTCGAAGAGTTCCGGTGCAGAAGCAACGGTGCCGTGCGATTCATGAGAGAAACGCAGCCTTCTGGAAGCGTGGCGGCAACCCTTGCAGCGTCATGGTGGAACTCTGCCAGTGCTGCAGTCACCCTTACCTATACAACTGAAGAAACCGTAAACATTCTGAGTGCAAAAATGTGAGGAGATGCAGTGCGGAAATTGAGAGAGGCAACGTCGAGAACACCATGCATTTCCCGGTCAACACTGCGGATTGCATTAGAGCCTAGAACTATATTAGGAGGTCGACATGAATGTGTTATTGCTGCGCTATGGTACAATGATTTATTTTCAGAAGCGGGGCCCACGGTGACGATTGCATCCAATAAGTATTTCAGTTTGGTGTCGCGCAAGTCAAATAAACATTCATCGTCATCTTCATCACCGTGATCGTCGCTGTCACTGTCACTATCGCTGCAGTAATCGCTAGTTGTCGAACGTGTCTGGTATAGTGGCATACTGTTTGGCTTAGAATCACCGTTGTTCGTGTAGATAAAAACGAGTTTCTCAACGGAGTTAGCTCGAAGGCTATTACGAAGCTTGGGCTGCGTAAATACGTAAGCACCTCACAGCCGTTTGCTTGCAGCAGATGAAGTAGGAAAACTGAGCACCTTTTCAGCAAAGCAGTACAGCTGGGGAAATATTCGTCCATCAGCCACCAATACAGAGGAGTATCTGTACCAGCTTTCGTCTTCTCTTCAGAAAGTCCTGGATTTCTTCATGCCAATAAAGTCCAGTAGCTCCAAGCGAAAGCTAGATGGACTAATATCCGGGGGGCAATCCAAAGCACTCAGCTACTTTAACAGCATCGGGCAACTGCATCGCGCATACTGTCTCCAGTAAAACCTGAAGTGTCCTTGGATGGGTCCAGCAAGTATGCAATTCTTGCTGAGTTCATCGATCAGGGCAAGTATTTTGGCCTGCACAGATGGGTCGGTGAGGCCGGGAATAGGAGCTGTGTGCACGTCTGCGTGCTTTATTCGCTCAAACACGTGCTGAATCATCGAATTGGAACAAGTATCAGTTTCAAAATTGGCGAGCGCGCGTGATAGGCTTGGTCAGTCGAACAACGATTCTTGCACTAGCCCAGAACGGCTTGTCCTGTAGTATATCTACAACATTGTTGAGTTTTTGAGCGGCTGCTGCGTCAGCATACTACAGCATAAGCTCAGTATCGGCGAACGCCGCCTTCAACGGCGACTTGCTGCGAGCCACGCTTTTTATACACCTCTCTTGGGCATACCATCTTGTAGACACCGGAGCCGACAACTCATCAGTCTTTGATCTCTTTGGAAGAACTCGACGCTTGGCACGAACTCGGTCCAGAAGGAGGTGTCGTGCTCGTACAAATGCTACCAACTTCACAGCTTTTATGTAAACGTCCGAAAAAAACTCAATTTTTAACATATCTTTCAGTAGCAAATTCATAGTGTGGTCAGAGCAACCATCGAAGATCACATTTGGGTACCTCAATTCAGCAAGACGTCCAGCTTTCTTCATATTCGCAGCATGGATACTACGGCAATCACGTTCGCAGCACCAGCGACTGCTTCCACCTCGGAAATAACGCGAGAAAGCCATAAAATTTCTAGTATGAGCTTGACATCCCGTTGTACCAGATGACCACATCATCGGCCGCATTTTGGGAGAAATGATAACGTAGTCTACGGTGCTTTCTCGATTAATGTTTGACCAGCCGTCCGTGATGATAATTAGCCGTAGTTAGCGTTGTAGAATCTGTCCCAAGCGTTCCATTTCCGTATTGTAAGCCATTCAAGAAGGTAGTTGCAAGACCGTGGCGCGTTGGAAGCTTCATATTCGAGCAAAAACGAATGAGAGAACGACGCAGATGCGGGTTATCGATCACGCGAAACGGTATTTTTGCCGTGTAAAACCCAAGGGCAATATCGAGGTAGACGAAGTTGTATCCATACTGATGACACTCCAGGCCTAGGCACAAGACGTATACATGGGAGGAAATCAGTCGCGTCGGGTCGCGACCGATAGCTGAGGGAGAGGATCAAGAGCTGTACGCATTGGCGTTGCAGATCAGCTCATACGCTTTCGAGTACGTTTGAAGAATCCTCCACCTTCTACCTCACCATCCGTGAGGTCATTGATCGGATTGCGCAGCATCCAGCGCGGAGCGTAAAATGAAAGAGGCGGGATGATGTATTCGTTTCCATTGTGCAGACGCAGGTAGAGAACGTGGCAACATGGTAGCAGCGACATTTGCACAAATGCACACGAACACAAGAAAGTCTAGCAAAACAATAGAACACTGGGTTACATAATACTTCACAAAATAAACTTTCCAAATTAAAAAGTATCATAGCACTCACCTTTGCGTTGATCATGTGTGTCTCGATCGTTGCTGCGCAGATTTGACGAGCGTGACCGGGTGTCGTAAAGTCGATCGTGTTGTGTGCGTCGCCACCGAGCGCGAAGTTCTACTCGGATTTCACGAAATGTGGAGAGTATCTTTGGAGATAAAAAACCTATTACCAATCAGACGAAGTGGTCGAAGGCTGGTCAAGTCGTGCTGGAGATTTAAGAGCTTTTATCTTAGCAACCCACCTCTACATTCAAAGTTGCGATGTTCTGGTTAGAAACATTCCGATACAACCTCATCAGCGGGCGTATTGCATCATTTGTAGAGGAGAATTTGGATGGTGGAGCTTCGCAGTCACATGCTACGAATACGCAAAGGCCAACTGTAACTTAAGTGCAAGTCAAGAGCATGCAATAATTACAAGCTGTTTTGAGCTTTACTGAAACCATATCAGCATGTTCTTCAACTGCGGCTGGTGTGAGGGTATCAAGGATCAGCTCAAGAGCGGAGGTACTGTTTCATCTCGTAAATACAAATTCGCGCGGCCTGCGAGATTAAAGCCCTATCCAAAAACCAAAAAGAACGTCTTACCCGCAACATTGCGGTTTAAAACGCCCGCCGTCATGCCAACCGGTTGCAGCTAAGAAGAAATTTATTACCGTAGATTTGGAAAAGGTGGATCGGTTATTGGATAGACCGTACAGCTACGGGACTTGACACCTTGTAGACGCGCTAAGCCTAACCAGCGTCGGACCTACGAGCCCATTACGAATCCTGTCGCGACCTTTGGGAGAAGCTCATTTCAAAATGACAAGCCTGTATCCCCGTGGTAAGCTTACAGAAGCTATTCTAGCACTGAGTGTTGGAGCATCAGCTACTGGGCCTTTGTTCAATGGGACAATTTCGACCCGGCAACGTTGGATCCGTTGCGTGAGATGGATAGAATACACTCGGCTAAACCGCCTTTCGTGAGGTCGAGTTCACGAATCAATGGATTGATGTGGTAGAATGGCCAGCCGCTAGAGTGATTGCCCCGTTCGGCGACGCTGAGTGGATTACCAAGGTACAACATGATACACAAAAGAAGACATTGTTTCAAACAACACGAACTAACTGGGACTTCTTATATTATTGGGCAGGACAAGCACAAACCAAGTGTCGAGGACTCAAACCTGGGAGGCACTATCATGGAGGGAGAATATTTTCGAGGTCCTCTTCTGATGCACTGGCGAGAGACACTTTGGTTAGCAGCAGCGTGTGTAACCACCGCCCTCATGGTCCTCAGGAATCACTATTCGTGTGTCGGCATTGTCAATCCCACATTTGTGGGATTTGTCTCTCAGAAGACAAAGCTAAAAGTCGCAGCCTCGTTCGGTGCATTCAAGGAGGCTAAAGACCCTGACATCGGCTGTGTCAACTTGAATGACAACCATTGGGTCGCCTTTCGCGTGGATGCTACCAGTGGGGTTGATCTCATGTTCGACCCAATGCAAAGCGAGCAAAACTACGAGAAGCTAAGGACCATAGTCAGTTTGACTGTAGAGCCACACCTGAAGACCGGAGGCGAATTAAGTTTGAGAAGGTTTACTGGCTCGAGCAGCAAGACGAGCATTCGTGCGGAGTCTGGTGCATCGTATTTCTTGAGCTGTTTCTGTCTGGGCAAACCTGGGAGGACTCGCTTTACAATCTTCAGCCATTTTTGCGGCTCAGGTATCTACCGATGCGTATTGAGCTTGTTAGAAGTGCTTATAGTGCTGATGAAGTCAGTGATGCCAATTAAGCTCGCTACCGATACTAAAATCAAGGGAAATTGTCAATTTAGTAGCCACTTTGAACAGCTTGCACACTTTGGCCGATATCTTCAAGATGAATAGTCTAATTGAAACGCCCTTTGGCCCCTATTGTTTTAGAATTACCGTATTTTGTATGGCATACAGAGTCAAGTCAGTCACGAAAGGGATAAAGTAATGCGGGCACGGCTATGAACACGTCAAAACAATATCTGTTCTTGTAGAAAGGAAATTTAAGATCAATGCGCTTGTAGTTTAAAAAAATGGCACTTGTGAAATTAGTCG